CATATACTGTGGTTTGTTTTTTTACATATTTTACACTGTTGGTTCCCCTTCAGTCTTTTTTCCTCTGTCATTTGTTGGTTGAAGAAACCAGTTTGTCATATAAAGTGTTCCACAGACTGGATTTTGCTTACTGCATCCCTGTGCACATTCGCCTTGTGCTCTGTATTTCCTGTAAATTGGTAATTGGATCTAGAGTCTTGATCAGATTCAGGTTCAAGAAAAAAAAAATTTTTTTTTTTTGGTAAGACTGTTTCATAGATGATGTACTAATTTAATTTTTAATTTCATCTGTAATTATCACTTAAAATTTCTAAACTTTCTCCAGTAAACATGGTTGCCTTTACGAATAAGAAAAAAATACATCATTAAGAAAGAATAGATTGTGAGCCCCCAGTGGGTAAAAGGAGTAATGGGCTATGGGCAATCCCCAAATTGAACAATTCACACGTGAATATTCAGAATTGACTGCATTTGCAGTTGTTTTTGTTAAGTTGGGAAATTTTTATGCTGATTTTAGTTGCTGAAAAATGTTTCACATATTGTCTTATCAAACTCATACACTGTTATATGTGCATGTGAACTTTTTGGCCTGGATGAATAGACATTGCAGGACAAACCAGTCCAGGAGAGTCCTCCTTATTTTTCATCCATCCTTTACCTGTACCAATCTCAAAAAGTACTTTATCTTCAGTTATGTCCTGTCTTTTTTTTTTTTTTTAAGATTCTATTTATTTTTTTTTGAGAAAGAAAGAGCATGAGCCAGGGGAGAGAGGGAGGGAGAAGCAGACTCCCCGCTGAGCAGGGAGCCCAATGTGGGATCATGACTGAGCCAAAGGCAGGTGCTTAACCGACTGAGCCACCCAGGTGCCCCCAATTATGTCTTGTCTTTGCACATAGTTGCAGAGTTTTCGTACAGGTAGGCTTCCAGGTTACGTCTGTAAAATGATAAGCATTGATGTGACTTCTTTTCACATGGTCCATGTCTTACTCTTTTCTGAACTTTTTCTCAAAACACACTAATCCGAGATGGATATTCCGTTTTTGTTTAGGGTTTTAGCATTGAGGAAGGAAAGAAGCATGTGCTTATCCATATTTTATGTTTGACGGTCGGACCTCTAAGAGAACATTGATGCTAATTTTCTGGTTACCTTGCAGGGGTCAACTGCAATGTATTGAGGTGATCTTTCCATTAATTAAGTTTTTACCTATATGGAAGAAACTATTTTCCCAGGAAATGTTATTTTACACCACACAGAAAAACTTCTTCTGAGCTTCCTACACTGGCTTATTCAAGAAAAAAGATAAATCTGTTCCTAAAATTAATTTATGGACCAGGATTAATCTTGTTCGAGAAGATGTTCACAGTTTTAGCCTTCATGACCCCAAAAATACAGCCTTTGTAAAACTCTTTACCGTATCACCTTTATCTGCAGAGTAAAATCTAATAAGCTTGTTATAAAAGGCCCTTCATGATGTGACTCCTGCCTCTCTCCCCATATCCATCCCCTCCTTGTGTTCTGTGTGTTTCGGTTCTATCAGAACTGCTTGTCATTCTTTAAATATGTCACACCAGCTGGCTGTTCTCCCTGAGTGTCCTCTCCTTCTTTCCCACATCCTTTTGTCCTGTTTTCTTAGCATTTATCTTTTTTTTTTAATTTTATTATTTCAGTTATCTCTACACCCAGCGCAGGGCTTAAACCCACAACCCGAGATGAAGAGTCACACACTTCACTGATTGAGCCAGTCAGGCGCCCCGTTCTTACCATTTATCTTTTAAATTCCAGCTTAGATGTCCCCTTTGTTATCGTCACCTTGTCACGTTATATTGCAAACACAGATAGACACATAAATACACGTGAGAGTAAGGTCCATGTCTTACTCTGTCCTGTAACTGGGCTGCTCACCTTGGGCCTCCACATAAAATGGGCACTCAGTAGGTAATTTGTTGGATTGAGTTGAAGCATAGGTGGGAATTATAACAGGCTACTAAAACATAAAATAGTTCAGATCTTGGAGAAACAGTATTTTCACTGCCATTGTTTTTGGAAAATCAGCCTTTCTTAGGAGAGCTTAATATCCTTTTCCTACCCCAGTTTATATTTGTGTTAGTAATTATGATCTGGGAAGTGGAGATTGCAGACAGTCTGGATTGCCTCCCCAGGGAGCCCTTTCGAGAACTCTGGAGAAAACAGTGGCGGTGCCTCATCCTCCTGCTGCTGGGACAGAGAAGCAGCCATGCTAGGGAGCAAGAAGCTCTAGAGCCCTTATCCTTGTCTTGTTAAATTGGCTTGTTTGTTGGGATGTTGAACTGGCCTTGGAGAAAAGATTAATGACCCGGGGCAGCTCTAGAGGCTTATTTTTGTAAAGCTACTTTCATTCTTTAATCTCAACTATAATTACAGGGTCCTTTAAGTGGTGGGGTGGAAAAATTGGAATAGGGTTATCATTGGTGACTAGATTTTTAAGTTCTTGTTTCCTTCCATCCTTCATTCTTCGTGTAGTTTTAAAAATAACATGGATTCATGTTTATTGAAAACAAGTTATAAAAATGTCTAGAAACAAAAATTACAGTTCCTCTGCCAATCCCTGCATATGTAGATATATTCATATATACACACAGATAAAGCTTTTTTTTTTCTTTATAAGGATCATACTCTAGTATTCTGTATGTCAAGCGTTTAGGTCGTGTGTTGAGTTGAAAAGAGAAGAGGTCATTTGTAACCAAACCTTGTCATTCTTACCTTTGTTTGATAAGTTGCTGTGATAATAGCTAATACTTAAAATTGAATAGAACTGTGTGTTAGGCTTGTATTTTTTTTCTTGTCTTTTTAGCAAGATGAAGTATATTTTTATAGGCAATCACGTATGTTATGTCTAATACCTACAACAATCCTGCAGGTTTTGTTATTGTTACCACTACATATAGATGAAGAAACAGGTTTTAAAGAGGCTAAGCTAATTTATTCAAGGTCACATGACTAAGAGTGGGCGTTCAGAGAATCAGACTCAAGCCAATCTGACTTTAAAAGCCGTGCCCTACTGCCCTGCTTAACCACCTGCGGGGAGGGCTAGTGGTGATGTTTTCCCTGATCTGTTGCAAATTAGTACTTTTGTAAAATACAATATAAATGAGTTACTAGAAAAATTAAGTGTAAAAAGGGACAGAAAATACAAACCCAAATGTGTTCTTAGATTCAAAATTACTTGGTCAAATTGCCATAAAAATTTCTAAATGTTTACTGTAAATTTTATACTGACTTCCTCACAGACTGGCAGAGTCAGCTAATTTGATAGCATTTTACAGGATCCCATGGAAGGAGAAAAAAGGGAAGGAGGGAGACCTGATAGGAAACAGACTGGCAGACTGGCAGTCAGTGGGCCCACACTGGACTACAGGTACTGAGAGGCACTGCTTTAGAGGCCGTAGGTTGGTGTAGTAGAAAGTCTCATAGAACTAGTTCTTTTAGGGACACCTGGGTGATTCAGTTGGTTAAGCGTCTGCCTTCGGCTCAGATCATGATCCCAGGGTCCTGGGGTCAAGTTCCGCTGAGCAAGGAGCCTGCTTCTCCCTCTACCTGCTGCTCCCCCTGCTTGTGAGCTCTCTCTCTTTCTCTATCTCTCTCTGACAAGTAAATAAATCTTAAAAAAAAAAAAAAAAACTAGTTTTTTTAATGTGATTTTTTTTTTCCACTTTTTGTGAGAGATTTTAAATATTAGAATTTATCATGGTCAGTCTTGTTTTTTCTTTTTTTTTTTTAAGATTTTATTGATTTATTTGACAGTGAGAGAGAGAGAGAGAGCAGGAGCAGGAGGAGAGGCAGAGGGAGAGAGAGAAGCAGGCTTCCCGCCAAGTAGGGAGCCCGACACCCAGGACCCTGGGATCATGACCTGAGCCGAAGGCAGGCGCTTAATGACTGCGCCACCCAGATGCCCCTTGTTTCATCTTCTTTCATACCCTTTCCCTTGCCAAACTATATTATTTTGACATAAATCCCAGATATCTCATCATTTTGTTCTTAAATATTTTAGTATCTTTTAAAAAATAAGGACTCTTAAGCAACATATTTTCCATAACATTATCACACCTAAAAAATAAACAATAATTCCCTAATATCTTCTGTATGTATTCAGATTTCCCAGATTTTTTATAAATATCTATTTGTGGTTGATTCCTTCAAATAAGAACTAACTTTTCCTTAACATAACAAAATAAAAAAAATAAAAAAACTTTTCCTTCATTCTATTATTGTCACATATTACATTTATTGGTTTTTGTATGTTGAACTACCCTTGTATTCCTGAAATTAATCCTTTGACTATGTTGCTGAATTCAGTTTGCTAGTGTTTTATTGAGGATTTTTGCATCTGTGTTCATAAGGGATGTAGGGCTATAGTTTTCTTGTAGTGTCTTTGTCTGGCTTTGGTATCAGAGTAATGCTGGCCTCATAAAATCAATCAAGAAACATTGCCTCTTCAATTTTTTTGGAAATGGTTAAGAAATATTGGTGTTGATTCTGAAGAACTGGCTTTTAAGATGTAGCTTCAGTGCTAACTTTCTGTTGACCTTGACCAAATCATTTTACTACTTTGGACCTAAGTTCCTCCATCTGTAAAAGGATATCTAATTGAATTATATGCTTTTTAACACATCTCTGTTAGTTTGTTGCCCTACACAAGGGTCTAATTTGATAGAAAGGTGTTTGCTTTCATCATCATAAGTTGTTATCAGGAATGAATTTCTCCCTGAAATTAATAGAATTGCAGACTTGAAAGTTGAAAGGGGCTTTAAGAAGTTATTTGATTTAGTCCTCTGCCTTTACAGAAGCAAATTATTATCTCTGCCCCATAGGTAAAATAGCTGATATTCAGAAAGTTTAAGTGACTTTCCTAAGGTATATAACTAGGACTTAAGTCTGTTTACCAGAGCGTGAATTATACAGATGGTCCTTTCTGAAATTAGCTTAGTTGGAAAATAATCTTTTGTTTTTCCTTCTCTGTAGGTTCTTTGCGCTGACATCCCTTCGTCTTGTGTTTCTACTCGCATTCAGCTCAATGATCATTGTATGTATAGATCAATGGAAGAACAAAATCTGGCCTGAAATAAAAGGTGAGTTTGATAGCATTTAGAAGAATCTGAACTGGAAGTGGTCTTTCCTTTAATTTTTACCTTTAGTTTTGGGGTTTCATGAGGGAGTATATAGAACTGGGAATATCTTTTGATGTCTGAATTGTTGCTTTAGGAGACACTTGAAGGGCTGGGGCTCCATCTGTAGTTCCTTAGAGCTTTGTTCCACCCTTCCCATTGTTATTAAGCTCAGGAAATCTGTATCCACCACCTGAGATATTCTTGCCCTCATAATTGGCCGGAGGAATAAGTAGTCCTCAAGTTAAAAAAAAAAAATTATCACTGGATACTGCATCTTTACTGAGACAGTATCAATGTGCCTCTCAGGGATTTCTTTTAAATTGTTTATTTACAAAGCACTAAGCTAAGCATTGTGACTTATATAAAGTACTCTAAGATATGGTTCCTTTTCTCAAAGATTATACATATGTAAACAAAAGACAGGTGACAGTTACAGAACAGTACCAGAGATGTCACTGTGCAGTATGTGATCGGTATGTTTGTCATGTATTTTGGCCCTGGCTCAGGCCTTGAATGAAGCAAGAGATTTGAACAGGTGAAGAGAAAAGTGTGTTTCTAGAGAGGGGCTAGTAGTTTGATTAGTCTGAGAAACCAGAAGCTGCAAAGCATCTCCTGAGAGCAGGGAATTAGTCACTTTCACCAGAATGAAGAGGTCATTATAAAAGGAGTGCTAGGAGATAAAACTGAAAATATGTTGGGATTAGATTTTACAAGGCTTTCAAGTTAGGCCTAGAAGTTTAGACTTTATCCTATAGGTAGTGGGTGGTCATTGGACATTTTTTTTATTAGAGCTAGATGCTGAGGTGATATTAAAGATTAATTTGATAGCATTTTACAGGATCCCATGGAAGGAGAAAAAGGGGAAGGAAGGAGACCTGATAGGAAACTATGGCTATATCTGGGTGAGAAGTAGTCAGAGAGGTATTCCTAGAAACAAACCATGGGTATCTGGGAAGAAGGAAGACACATGAAGACTGGTAAATAGGGGGTTAGAAGAGTAAGGGATAAAAGCCAACCGTGGGAGTTCAAAGCTAGGAGAGTAGGAGAATGGCATTCCAGGTAGCAGATACAGTAGCGTCAGGCTGGGGAGGCAGTTTGGGTGGGGGTTGAGAGTGAGGAAAATTGATGTATGTTTTTGACATGTTAATTGTGAAGTGTTGGCAGGATATTTACACCAGAGTATACAGCTTTTAAATGCATTCCCATCCTATTTTGCAGAGACTTTAAGGAATCATGTAGTTCATTCACTGGTCTTATGGCTGGTGAATGTCAAGACTTGACATCATTCATTGTAGTTAATGGGTCTCTTTTCAAAGAGAAAAGGCAGATTTCTGGGGTTGGAGTGGTTATAACATGCCTCAGTAACCTGGTGCACGTTGATGTGTGTGAACAACCAAGACACACTTGAGGGGTGGGATGGATCATTTTTCATGTGCACCTTGGCTCTTGGTTGTAGTAAGTAGAAGGGGCCCTGATGCTCCATTTGGATCCCCTCAGCCGTCCCCTGGAGAAATGAGCAGGCATCAGCCATCCTCCCCGTGTCTGCAGTTCCCTAACTCTGTCAGTATAACATGGTGTCTCCTTTTTATTGGCTATTACTATTTTCTTTTCCCCAAACCTATTAAAACTCAAGCTGTCAGACCAACAGCCTAACATTTTTATGTTTAGTTTTCCCTACCAACTAATGCTGGTGTTTGTTTTAATATTGTAGTGCCAAGACCCGACGCATTAGACAATGAGAGGTATGGAACACTAATTAAATCCCTTTTTGTTGCTCTGATTGATTCTCTTGTTGTAATATTCTGGTTACATGTTGTTAACCCCATGTTATGGATACAGAGTATGAGCTGAGAACCTAGTCTTTTCCAAATAATCATCTTAACAAACCCTAAAGTTCAGGCAGCAGTTTGTTGAGATGGCTAGTGTCCTGTTCCTAATAACAAGAAAAGTTTCTGAAAAAGAAGCATTATAGTGCCCCATAACCTGATATGCCAGGGAGTTAGCTGCATTTTTTAGCCCTACTGTAAAAACTTAGAGGCAGCTTATTTCATTTGTCTCCTGGCTTTTATACCAGGTCATTTAGTGTTTTCTGTGACCTCTGGCTTTTTAAAAAGTTCCTGGTCAGAAAACACATTGGTTCCTGGCATCAGCAAGCCAAAGATTCCTCTTGTGTCTTACAGTTCCTGCTTCATTTCTCAGTTCATTCATCCCATATGTTTGATCCAAGGAATTTCCTCTGCTATGGTTTATTTTGCTTTTGCTGAATTTACTTTCTCTCTGAGGGACACACCTACCATTGCCTCTCCTTCAGCAGCAGCAGCGTCAGACTGTGCTTTACTTTTATCCCTGAGCTGCAATCACAGTGCACTGCAAAGGTCCGAGTGCAGGGAAGATGTTTCTAAGCACAAAGTGCCTTGGAGCTGGTGGCAGGTTTATACACGTGGATTGAGCGGCCTCCTCAGAGGGTGGAGTTGTCAGAACACATGTGCCCTCCTAGTCCCTAAATTCAAGTTTCAACCTGGTGAGACAAGAAAACTGTCCCGCTTCACCTCCAAAGCACCTCGGACTAGCCGCTCCCCAGCTGCAGTTGAAACCTCGAAGCACTGGCTGCCTACACAGCAAGATGAGGGGCTCCCTCGACACCCACCTTTCACAGCTCCCCCTTCTCTCTTCTGCAGCTGGGGCCTTGTGCACCCTCGGCTGCTCAGCGTGCCCGAGCTCTGCCACCGCGTGGCTGAAGTCTGGGTTAGTGGGACCATTTTCATAAGGAATCTTGTGCTTTTCAAAAAGCAAAACCCAGGCAAGGTAAGATTCTTCCCTTTTCACTTTCATTTCTGGCTTTGCAGTTCAGTTCCTGCTCAGCTGAAACAGTCCTTTGACTACAGAGCCTCAGTCAAGAAAGGAAAGACCGTGCTGACTGGGGAGACAAAGGGAAGTTAGAGGAAGGGGCTTCTGACCAGCCACTAGGACTAAGGGAAGAGCTTGATGACTCCTTCTTTGGGTGCTCGCCTCTTAGATTGAGCCATCTTCCTGCCCCAAGATGGGAAAGAGAGCTTGCTTGTGTGCATTCTGTGTCATATTAAACATGTGGTAGGTTGTTGGGTTTTTTAAATTTTTTCTTTTTTTTTTTTTTTTGACTTAAAAAACCCACCACTAACACTTGCGTTCAGAGAGAATTTTTGGCTAAGCCTATGCAAACCATTTTCCCAATGGGAAAGGTGCAGCCCTGTTGGGTTAGCAAGGGAAAAGGAGTGTGAGTAGAATGGACATCCTCCTTTTCATCCCAGACAGAGTCACCACAGGATGCAACAGAGGCTAGACACAGCTCTCATTCTGACCTGCCCACTCATAGGTCATAAAGAGTCATTTCAGTCACGTTTCCACCTTATCCCTTGTCTGCACCCCAGTCGCCTGCCATGTAACAGAAACTTAATACTGTGCCCTGACTCCTCTAGTTCTGCTTGCTGAGCTGTGGGATACTGACCTTTTTTGCCGTCTTGGGCCGCTACATCCCTGGGCTCCTGCTGTCCTACTTGATACGTAAGTATGGTGCGCACCTCCCCCTGAGCTTCCCCACTCCTAGCTTTTCTAGCCACAGCTAACTCTGGGTCGAGGAAGAGGACTTTTATATTTTGGTTCACCAAGAAATAACCTTTTTTATATTTTCAGAACCTGTTTGGTGTCATGAAAATATCTTTCTTCTTGCCTGTAACAGGCTCCCCACACATCAGGTCCTTTTCTTACCAAGTCAGCTTTAGAAATTGATGACGGTCCGCTAGCATATATTGCATTACCAACTATAAAGGGCTGTCTGTCCCTATTTAGGAGGAAATTTTTAGAGTCAGTATATTGTGTAACAGCAGAACATAACTTTTAGGGGTTTCTCTACTAGATTCTGCTTATCCTGGAGCACTTCTTTTTCTCCTGGAGCACAGTGTTTTAAATTTAGTTACTTCCTATTGGCATGAACTTTTCGTGGGGCAGGAAAAACTGAGGAATTATGGCTGTGGCCAGCAGCTCACATGATTTGTTGTGTCGTTTCTGAGGCATTGTTACACCTTATTTATGGCTCAGTGACACCCAGATGCAAGTGACCACACCTGGTTCTGTCCTCGGTATGATCAGCAGCACACTCTACTGTGCACAGCCACGTAGGTGGCCACAGAAGTGTCTGCCCTCCAAAACCCCCTCATGTGGTACAGGAGACTAGTAAAGACCACCAGTAGAATGAAGCAGAACTGTTCCCCACCGATTGTCCGGTCAGAGGACACATAGCAGAGGGACAGTCAGGGCTGTTCATCCAGCCCCTTCTCCACTTTGTGACTGTTTCCCACTGCTCCTCTCAGTTGTCACTGTCATGATGTGGCCCCTTGCTGTGTACCACCGACTGTGGGATCGAGCCTATGTACGGCTGAAGCCGGCTCTGCAGCGGCTGGACTTCAGTGTCCGTGGCTACATGATGTCCAAGCAGAGAGAGAGACAATGTAAGTGTCAAGGGGAGGCTTCCTTCTACTTCGGCAATTTGGGGAAGAGAAGGAAAAGCCCGTAGGTCTGACATAACGTGTAGGTCCTCGAAAGTGGGAGAGGTGGGATGGGGGCGCGTGTAGGAGGGTGGGAGGTAAAAGTGGTATCTTACTCCAGGGAAGTCTGTGCGGGCGTACCAAGTTTTGCATTTGCAATTCTGGACACTCCCAAGTTGAATAAAAGTCAGGCAGTGAAGATATCCCTACTGTTTGCTGTTTTTCACGAAGCACTTTCCGTGTGCCCAAGCACTGTGGTGGCAGCTCTGCGTATTTTTGTTTATTTTATTTTACTTTTTTTTTTTCCAAAGATTTTATTTATTTATTTGACAGACAGAGAGAGCGAGAGCAGGAACACAAGCAGGGGGAGTGGGAGAGGGAGAAGCAGGCTTCCCGCCGAGCAGGGAGCCCCATGCGGGACTCGAGCCCGGGACCCTGGGATCATGACCTGAGCCGAAGGCAGATGCTTAACGACTGAGCCACCCAGGCGCCCCTTTACTTTTATTTTATTAATGCGTATCTTATTTAACCTTGACAACCTTGAGAAAAGAAATTGAACTTTACAGTCAGTAAATAGCAACTCCTAAGCCAGGCCTCCTTTCACTACTGAAAGCTGCTTTCCAAAGGTGATACTTCATACTGCCTGAGAAGCCAGAAGGGTGCTAGCTCAAGACCGTCCAACACACAAATGACAGTGGTGTGAACTTTCTCCTCCCTTCTGTGGGCTGGTCAGATTGGGTGTTTCATTAAGCTCTAGCCTTCCAAGAACCCTGCACGTGGTCATCAAGGCCCAGCTCCCCCTGGCACAGCTGGCTAAATAGTATCAGTCCTCAAAAGCCTGATTTAACCAAGGTGGGGCATCTCCCTTTGCCCTCTCTATGGAGCATCCACTTCCCGCTTAACATCCTGTCTGCCCCTAGCCTATCCTGCGAGTTGTTGATCATCTGACCAGAACAAAAATATGGAGGGGCTGGTGGAAGAGAGGCATCTGAAGAGAGAGCTTTCTCTCCTGTGTTACTGGCTTATCTTGCCACTTAGGCTCAGCAGCCCCACCCTCAGGCATTGGTGGTGTTTTTGGGTTTTTTTTCCAGGCATTGTAATGTAGGCTTCAGGCCATATTCTGAGGGTTCATTCTCTTATATTCTGATTTTATGCCTTTGAAGTCTGAGGCGGGTAGGGTTTTTTGCTCAAGGGAAGGCGTCAAGGCCTTCTGCTCTTCCCACGCAGTGCGCCGCAGAGCTCTACACCCAGAGCGTGCCTTGGACAACCACAGTGACAGTGAAGAAGAGCTTGCTGCCTTCTGTCCTCAGGTATCTTGGGTGTGGGAAGTACACCACTGGCTAGTGTTCTTTTAGCAACCTTGAACCATATGGTACCTCACATTTAGGCGGTAAGTAGGTTTTCAAGCTTATTACGGGTGCTCCAAGGCCCCACCCTCCCCTTGCCCCCAAGAGCAGTAAGGAGAGAAGCTAGTGTTACATTGGGACTGTGTGCGTAGATCTCAATTTGAGCCTGGTGACCAGCACATCCTCTTCCATGTCTCCTTTTAACCCCTACCGTCATGGCAGAACCTCTGGAACTGGCGTGATCGTCTTTTAAACAGCCCAGCCTACCTTATGTTGGGCAGTATGTCTTCCTGGCCACCTGTGCAAAGTAATCCCTGGATCAGTTATTTGCTTAAGAGTAAGTGGCTGGTTGACTCCCCAGACTGCTTTCCTTCTACTCAAGATTGATAAGTAAGGGTGTTTTCCTTGGGGGAGCAGCCTAAAAGGGATCAAGATATTGACTAAAGTCCCCAGTCTTGTCTGGTTGCACTGCCGGCCGCAGGCTAGCCTTTAGGGCCAGCTAATTAGTAGAGCTATAACTGGGGAACTGCACCTGTTCCTAATGGCATCATCTCTTGTTGGTCTTTTCTTTCCTAAGCTGGATGATTCTACTGTTGCCAGGGAATTGGCCATCACAGACTCTGAGCACTCAGATGCTGAGGTCTCCTGTACAGACAATGGCACATTCAATCTTTCACGGGGCCAAACACCTCTAACAGAAGGCTCTGAAGGTGAGGCGAATGGTGGATGTGAGTTCATAATGGCCCTGTTGCTGCTCAGCTTCCCTGGGCAGAGAGGTTACTGCCCCCTCCTCTCCTGTTTTCTGAGGTGTGGATCAGGTGGTGGAGCAGCTTGGGACGGGGTGGGGTATGGCTTCGGCCAGGATTGCACTGCTGCTCTCCTTGAAATCCCTTGGGTTCTAGTCTCCTGTGGAGCATAGGAGAGGAACAGAAGGGATTTCTTTGGCCAGTAGAGATCTCATAGCAGTGTATAAGTGGAGGGGAAAGGCCGACCAGTGCTACAGGTTTTGCTTCACCCTGAGAAATTCAGGGTAGAAAAATCTGGTTACATGGAGCTGACTTTGTGGGTCTAGGGTACAGGAGTGCCAGGCTGTTGCCACGTCTCAGACACCCCTCTTTTCCCAGACCTAGACGGTCACAGTGATCCAGAAGAATCCTTTGCCAGAGACCTTCCAGACTTCCCTTCCATTAATGTGGATCCTGCTGGCCTGGATGATGAGGACGATACCAGCATTGGGATGCCTAGCTTGATGTACCGTTCCCCACCAGGGGCTGAGGGGCTCCAGAACCCCCCTGTCAGCCAGGAGGAGGCTGTACTGCCAGAGCTCCTGCTCGGTTCCCTGCCTGCAGGGTCCAACCTCACCAGCAACCTCGCCAGCCTCGTCTCCCAGGGCATGATCCACCTGGCCCTGTCGGGGGCCTCCCAGCCAGGCCCTTCTGGCCCGCCTCCCCGGAGAACAACAAGAGGCTTCCTCCGGGCCCCCAGTTCAGACCTCGACACTGATGCTGAGGGGGATGACTTTGAACTTCTGGACCAGTCGGAGCTGAATCAGCTGGACCCTGCCAGTTCCAGGAGCCACTGAGGCAGAGACTCCTTTTAGGGGTCACTGTGGTTTAGGTTTTTTTTCTCCCTATCCCACTTAAGGTGAAGGGGCAAGGGAAGAACCCAGGTCCCATCCACTGAATTACATAGGTTTGCTTGGTGGCCTGGCGGAAGCTCAGGCCTGCTGAGAGGATACTCACTCCCCTGCTACCAGCTGGACGCCCATTTCTGAGCTCAATCACTGTAGTGAGAGTGCTCCCCTGAGGGAGGCTTCTCTCCATCAGAATGGTACTTTGGGGAACACAGTAATCAGGGGTATTGGTTCCCCTTTGAGGGGGTCGCTGCTGTTTGCTTCTAGGTATGGGTGCTTGGGGGTCTCCCTCCCTTCATCACCTCCTTGGAGCTCCAAGTCAGGCAGCAGCTGGAAGAGTTAAATTGCCATCTTCCTCTTTTGCTAAGCCATGATTTGATTTGTCTTTTTCTAAGCACGTTTTTTGGTTCTGCAGAGCAGGCCTGCTCCCTCTGGGCCGGCCCATCCTCATTTCTTGAGACCTAACCTCCAGTGCTCCAAAATAGTGCTTGTGAAATTTAAGAAATGTGAACATGATGTGGGGGTGGGCCTCTTTGAAATTACCTTGGGCTGTGGGGTCAGCTGGCTGAGAGGGTGAGTGCCTCTCTATCTCCTGGTCTCATGGAATCTTCTGAAGCCGCCTGGTTATTTTTGGTGCTGCTAACCCCTGGCTCCATTTGACCATCAGCCTGAGCAACGAGCAAAGCAATACCATACCATATCCATTTCCGTGTTCCTGTTCCTTCCCCTGCTCCTCCTTTGGAGAAGCAATAATTGCATGGGGGATGTCAAAGTAGCACTTTACAAATGGCTCATTGGCATTCACCCCAGGAGCCACCAGCTCTTCTTGCACCAGCTCTTCTTACTCCCTGTTCAGTTCCTTTAATACTTTTATTTTCAACTGCTTCCCAACTTGGCGGGGCCTCTTTTAAGAATGAGCCTATTTAGCAAGAGTGTGTCTGTAGTCAGCAGAGACTTCTCCAAGGGGTATCTGTTCTGCTGCCCCTAGAAAAATCATGTGAGACAAAAACTAAAAATGGTAATTCTAAACCTATGCCAGCCTACAGCCTCTCTTTGCCTCCCCAATCAGAGCTCAGGCCAAACTCTTCTGTCCTCTTGCCCTCTGCATTAACCCTTTGCTGATCCTCAGGGACCACTCCCCCAACACCCCCATACCTGGGCAAGGGATGTTGGACAGAGCCCATTTTCATGTGCTGCAGGTGGGAGTGCGCTAACATGTTTGTTCTTGGTTGATGGAAAAGGTAGAGGCCATGAGTGAAAATTAAGAGAACGGAGAAGAGCTAGGTGCCTGTTTCATAGTCACTTGTGTGTGTGAAGGTTAGGGGTAAATGGTATCTCCCCACTTTACGGTTCTCAGACTTTGGACACCTTCTGTCTTCTCAGAGCCCAGATGTCTCACAGGTGAGCTCTGATGTGGGAAAAAACGGGAAGTGTGGAAGAGGGGGTTTTGGTGTGTATGCATGAATGTGTTTAGCTTCAGGCCTTGGAAGTTGGCAAGAGGGAGGGAGGAAGGAGAGCAAAATCTTCAGAAGGTGTTTCTTGTTCCTGGGGGATCCTGCTCTGAATCTCCTTAGTCCTCCACTGTGAACTGGGGTGGGGATGGGCGGGGGGGGGCGGTGGTGCTGGGGAATAAATCTTGTATGAGAACAATCTTTTAAGAGACTGATGTTGAATGGTGTTTTACCCATGATAGTCTTCTCTTCTTAATCTGAGATGTGATTAATCGGAGGTGACAGCCTCAGAAGAGGAAGCCCGTGTGAGGGACCCACCTGCCTGTCCCTATTTGTGACCTTTGTGATGGTCAGAACAGTCACCAAGTATGAGGCCACTTCCCTCCCCACGAGAGCCCAGGCAGCACAACTGGCACTCTTGGCTGGCATCTAGCCTGCAGTCCCATCATTTTTAATTCTTTTTTTATAAGTTTTTTTAAGGTTTTTTACGTATTCATTTGAGACAGAGAGCATGAGCAGGGGGAGGGGCAGAGGGAGAAGCAGGCTCTCTGCTGAGCAGGAAGCCTGATGTGGGACTAGATCCCAGGACCCTGGGATCATGATCTGAGCCGAAGGCAGAGGCTTAATTAACCATCTGAGCCACCCAGGAGCACCCCCCCTTTTTTTAAGATTTTATTTGTCGCACAAGCGGGGGGAGCGGCAGACAGAGGGCGAAGCAGGCTCCCTGCTGAGCAAGGAGTCCGATGTGGGACTGACTCGATGCCAGGATCCCTGGATCACGACCTGAGCGGAAGACAGACACCCAGCCAACTGAACCACCCAGGCGTCCCCGTTTTTAATTCTTAATACTGTTCCCTAGCCGTGTGAAGACAAGTACCTGCATCAAAGGCTAATGAGACTTTAGGTAACAGGCTTTAAAAAGTAGCATCATGCTCCTCCTCTGGGTTGAGCTGCAGGGACAGCTGCTCTTTGGCCTTCAGCTGACCTCAGAAACTAGAAACACTTATTTCAGGCTTTGTCCCATTGGCCACTGTGGGCAGGAATGGAAAACACCTGCCAGGTGTTGCCATAAGATCGACTCGGCCAACAGGAAACTTTTCTACAAGCTTTGCGGCTTAACAGTAGCCCCCTCCCAACCCTGCCTTTCCTTGGTGTCCATTACCACAGAACGTGTTGAGCGCCCCCTGGGTGCGAGGCTCGGTAACCCGCAAATAAGGGTAGCGCTGTGCTTCCAGGGCTCTTAGGCATTTTCGTGTCTTCCCAACCACCCTCCTGCTAGTACCTCTTGTTCCTATTTTACAAATGAGACTGACTGACAACGTTGGGCCGTGGAAGAGGACACGTCCCTGTGGGTAACTGACCCTGTGACCTTGAGCCAAGTCGCTAGCCCAGCGGGAGCTGATCCTAAGCTTTCTCCCCCCAGGAACCCCGTCCCAGCTCACGGTCACGAGAGTTCAGCCGCCCCTGGAAGTGGGTTTCGAGACTTCAAGGAGTGGTTTACTCCGGCCTACGCCCCGAGCCGGGGGGCGGGGGGGGCGGGGGGTAGTAGGAGCGCTCTGGAACTAGCGCCCCGCCTCCGCCGCTGAGACCCCGGAGGCTGGCGCCCGGGAAGGGGTGCTTCGTGCCTCGCGAAGACGTCCCCTTCCGCCAAGCAACGCTTGCGACCCGCCCTTCTCGTCGCCGGAAGCAGCCGTTGCCCCGAGCAACCGCAACGTCCGGCTTTCCGAGTTAGCGGCGGGAAAGGCCATGAGTAAAGGCCGGGCGGAGGCCGCGGCGGGAGGTAAACGGGACCGTGGGCGCGAGGGAGACCGGGCGGGGGGCGGGCGAGGCGTCGGTTGACCCCCACCCTTGCCCCGTCTCCCCGTAGCCCCCGGGATCCTCCTGAAGTACCTGCAGGAGCAGAACCGGCCCTACAGCGCCCAGGACGTGTTCGGGAACCTGCAGCGGGAACACGGACTGGGCAAGGCGGTGAGGACCCTCTCCTGGGATTCCTCCCCTTGGGTCCCCTCGAATCAGTTTGGGGTGCTGCCCTCTCGAAGCTGCCATTCTAGCCTTGGGCTTCCTAAGGCTTGTCGGGCGCTTCCCGGTCTGGGGCTGAAATTCCCGCTGCCTGGGCCCCCGAAGTCATTCCTCTGATTGCCCGCCCCGCCCCCCCGCAGGCGGTGGTGAAGGCGCTAGAGCAGCTGGCCCAGCAAGGCAAAATCAAAGAGAAGGTGTACGGCAAGCAGAAGATCTATTTTGCCGACCAGGTGAGGGAAACCTGTGCAGATTATCGCCCGTGTGAGACCCCGACATTAGGTGAATCAGTCTCTAGAATGAACTCTCTTCTGGAGAATTTGAGGCACCCCATGAAACTCAACCTGTCTTACGCCATGAAAAGGGTCCCAGACACCTTTAAATCAAGGTGGGTACTCCCCTTGCTGTGACCCAGATTAGTGAGACTTCCAGATTCGGGACATGATCGATGACAGAAGACCCTGAATTGCTGCTGCCAGGATCCGTTCCCGCTTGGAAGTTTCTTTCCCCAGGCATCTAGATTAGAACCACCATCTGCCAAATGATTCGCCTTCTGTCCCCACCCCTCACTCCCGACACAGATAACACTAATTTTGTATCTCTGGGCCAGCCCACCACCTGGAGCCTGCCAGGCCTTTCAGTCAATACTAATATCGCTGAAGCAGGATGCCGCATCTCCCCTAAATGGGCTCCTCCTACCTGCTTCTACCTCCGTGGAGTCACGTCTCGCCCAACCTAGAGACCGGGGAGTGAGTCACTCTTCTCTTTCCCCGGTGCCCTGTTGGGTTTTCCCCCTTCCTGCTCCGCCCTCTCCTTTCCATCTGTGGTGGCTGCTCAAGTTCAGGTGTTCCTCATCTCCCCGATGCCCTCCTAACATCTGCTGGCCTCTCAGCCATCTTAAACACTAAAGCCAGAAGGGTCTGTGTAATTGGCAATAGTGCCATTGCCTTCAAAGTCGCTATTTAGCGACTTCAAACTCTGGCGCTCCCTAGAACAGGGAAAAGGTACTTGGAGCCTCGGCCGCAGGCTGCCGCCTGCCTCACTGTCCCTTCTGGGTCCATTCACCAGTACTAGACCATTTAGATGAGTTTTACTCCTGTGTCCTTCCTCTGCCTGGAGCTTCAAAGACCCTTCTTCGCCTTCTGCGTCTTTGCTCAGCTAACGCATACTCATCCTTTAGGATTCCCCTCAGGCATCACCTCCTCCAGAGACCTTCCCTGAATTCTCTAATCGCCTTTTCTTCAGGTGCTCACCTCTCTGAGGGATGCTGTATTGCAGTTGTCTTTCTGCACGTCTTCACGCCGGACTGCAGCTCTTCTTAGGCAGCCCCACTTCTCACCCATATTCCTTTGCTCAGCACCCCCACCCCAGGAGCTAACATCCAGTAGACACTGAATACTAGTTTAACTGAACCAAACCACCATTAAGGTTGATTTTCCTAAAATAGATTTCATTATGTGATTACTCTAATGAAGATTCCCTAAGGGAGAATTTTGCAGATTTTCTTTTGTAAAGGGCCAGACCGGTAATATTTTTGTGCCTTGCAGGCCAGGTGGTCTCTTGTCACAGCTACGCAGCTGTCACGACCACTCGTGTCTGCCACGTAGACAGAAGCAGCCCGAGACAGTATGTAAACGGGCAGACGTGGCTGTGTTTCAATCAGTTTTTGTTTTCAAAACCCTGTATCTGGCAGGACGTGGCGTGCAGGCTGTCCGTGGTTTGCTGCTTGCTGCTCTGAAGGCCTGCCTTGCCTTCAGGTAGAGGCCGCACTGCCCAGGCTGGCCTTCCGCCTCTTCCTAACCTGCTCCCTATCACCACTGACAAGACCCCCGTGGAGCCCCGGCGCTGTCCTTGGCAGTAGCTGGTCTCAGGGGACGGGCTGCTCAGACTTGCCCTGGAGTCCCTTCGGTACTGCCCACCATGCCTCTCTACCTGTCCCAGTTCTTCCTGTTGTGGGAACGTGCAACTTAGGTAGCTCTACCTCAGGAAGAATGTTCCTTTACTCCTTCAGCCCAGTGAGCGGTATTACCACTAAACTGAGATCTGCCCTGTTCGGCATCCTGCCAGCCTTGAAGCCCCTTGAGGACAGGCCTCAGGTTTTAACTTCTTGTTTATATCTTGTTAGTTGGGACCGGTACTAAACTGAGTGGTTTCTCACAGGACCCTCCCGCTGTTCCCCCAGGCCCTCTGCAGGGTTGGGGAGCCTCATGTTCTTGTGTGTGTGTGATGCTGCCCCCTGCCCCCAGATGTGGCTTCCCCTCCTGTGCCTCACATCAGCCCCCTTCTGTTTTTCCTCTCACCTCTGGCAGGACCAGTTTGCTATGGTGAGTGATGCCGACCTCCAAGGCCTGGATGCCAAAATCGTGGCCCTCACTGCTAAGGTGCAGAGCTTACAGCAGAGCTGCCGCCACATGGAGGCTGGTAGGACTGGGCAGCCCCCGAAGGGGCCCCTAGGGTCAGGGTCAGTCTAGAGGTCAGGAATTACAGAGTGGATGGTTTGCTGACGGCAGTGTTGTCTTACGTCAGTGAATCTCTGCTCGGCTGCCGCAGGCATCATGTTAAAAGAGAGAACAGCTCATGGCTTTTAAATATAAGTGGGCAAAACATGCATTTGCCTTCCCTAACATTATCTGTGTCCCGGGCCCACGCTCCCTCTGTGCCTGCTTCTTTAACTGGCTACAGGGAAGTGTTCAACCTCACTTTACCACCGCTGGTAGATGGAGGAGGAAAAAAAACTAGAATAAACTGGTAATTCTGTAAGCCTTCATCTCTGCTGAGCATTTCCAGAATATGGAACTCATTCTGGACCCTGTGTGTAGAACCTAGAGCAAGGTAGGGGCCCAGTCCCCTACCTCAGGCAGCACCCACTGGGAAAGACAAAGCCCCATCTTCAGGGGTGGGAAGGGACCTGAGAGAGCTATGGTTTCAGAGCTGAAGGAGTTAACTAGTGCCCTGACCACACCGGAGATGCAGAAAGAGATCCAGGAGTTGAAGAAGGAATGTGCTGGCTACAGAGAGAGACTGAAGAATATAAAAGCAGCCACCAACCACGTGACTCCGGAAGAGAAAGAGCGGGTGAGCTGGGAGGGAGGGCCGGAGCGGGGCGGAGCAAGGAGGCGGCTGGCCCCCACCTGCCGCGGGGCTGAGGGGCTAGAGGCAGCTGTTGTCCCGTCCAGGTGTACAGCGAGAGGCAGAAGTACTGCAAGGAGTGGAGGAAGCGCAAGAGGATGGTGAGTGTGCGCGCTCCGGGCAGGCCCCGAGAAATGGCAGAAACCGCTGCCCAGTAGCATGGCTCTGCCAGGCGGTGCCCACCACCCACCTGAAAAGGGGTGGTTTTGTTTCTTGTCAGGCAACAGAGCTGTCGGATGCAATTCTGGAAGGATACCCCAAGAGCAAGAAGCAGTTCTTTGTAAGTGGCTCTCTCCCGTCCTCGCTCCCCTAGGCTTCTGTCCGAGGAGGGCTCATCCACTTGTCTCCCTGCCCCAGGAGGAAGTCGGGATAGAGACAGATGAGGATTACAACGTGAAGCTCCCAGACCCTTGAGGAGTCCTCCTGCAGGACGGGGGCATGGAAAGAGAGGTCCTGGGCTGGCTGCCTCCTTCAGGTCGGCTTCTTTTTTTGTTCCTGCTGCTTTCTGCCTTTGGGCAGAGCGGCGGGGAGAGGGGCAGGGGCCAGAGTATGGGGCGCAGGGAGCGAGCGAGCCCACAGCGGATGGTCAGGCTCCTTTCACTGGCTACATTCCAGTTGCTTGAACTGAACACTCAATCTTGGAACAGCACTAAAGGAAAGCATTTGGCAATATTTATTGTAATATAGTTTGATATAAAAATACTTAATTTCCTCTGGCTAACCAAACGTCCCAGATGTCAACCCTGAGGAAGGCTACAGGGTAGAGAGAGGCTACTGTACACAGCATTCAAGGAGCCCAAGGCCTTACCCAGGACTTCTCCGGGCTCTTGTACCCTAGGAGGCGTTTAAGTACCTTCTCTAACCCTTCACCCTGGCCCCAAGTCCTGGGAGAAATGCAGGTAGCACGGAGATGGCAGAGACCCAGATACACTTGACGGGAAGGCTGGGAGTGGTTTTGAGGCCCCGTTCATTTTCCAAAATTGTAACTTTAGCAAAATTGCACTGTTGGTGTTTAAAAAATTCAAAAAAAAACCTCTTAATACGTAGTGCTGTGTCACGCTCCTCTGTGCTGTGCTCCCGCCTGTGGGACAGAGAGGGCAGGAGCACACAGGGAGCGGGAAAGGAGAGGCAGTGGAGTAGCAGGCGAGGGCAGGATCCTGGCAGCCCTAGCCCAGGTACCAGGTGGCCTATCACGCTTCATGGCTGTGGGAGTATTTCCTCGCGTTCCTTTCTTCCTGTCCCACTACTGCCAAAATGGCCAAACTTGGGCCAGATATTGCCCAAATCTGGCCCAAGAGACCAAACCAAATGCAATAGTAGCTTCCAGATACGTGTAGATAAGGAGCAAAAATCTGAGGCTTAGGGAGAGGCCGGAAACTCTTGGGGGTGCCCAGAGCAGACCCCCGCCCGAGGACTTTTATGGGGAGGGGGAAAGACAGGAGGCTCGAGTTTTGTGGTCAATATAATAAATTACAGCTTTCACAAAACAAACATTCCAGCCCCACTGAGGCTGAGGGGGTGCTGGGGAACCAAGCTCTGGGAGCCAGTGGCCCTGTGTGCAGCGTCGCAGTCCGATCTCAGAAACCCAGTGGCTCTGTGGCCAAGCGGGAGACTCAGGCCTGTCGTTGGCTCTTCTGCGGGTTCTGGGAGCCGGTCAGTACAGCTGGTTCTTCAACTGGTGCAGGACGCCAATCACGATCTCCCGGAGGGTCTGGCGGGGGCAGCAGAGGGAGACACAGCTGACGCGGAGGCAAGGACAGAGCCGGCTCGGGGACGTGCCTAGGCCAGGCGTGCGCTCTAGAGCGCAACGGGAAAAGCCCGTGGGCCGCACTGCCGGCTGCAGTTTATCCGCGCAACAGGATGGGGAAAGGGGTGGCCTGGCTGGCTACATGGAAAAGCAAAGGCAAGAAATGGGAAAATGGGAATGGTAACATTTAGGTGGTGGGCTCGTGAGTGTCAGGGTTGCAGTATGCTTAAAGTGTTTCCAGAAAATGTCAGGAAACAAAGACTCTCAGATGCAAGTCAAGCCTCAGAAAAGGCAACCAGTCCTCAGAAGCAGAGGACTCCCTGCGACAGCATTCACACGCTGCCCCCTTACAAACCCTCAGGGGCAAACCACTTCAGCAGGCCTGGGGGGTGGCGGCCAGGAATCTTTCCAGACCTGCCGAGTGAGTCCGCTGCCGTGATGAGGGGTACGCGCTGGGCAGCCGCAGGGGGGCTGAGAAGGGGCAGAGCGAGCCTTGCTTAAGTGCCCCATCAGTCTTGCCAAATGAAACCCTAACAGGAAAATCTGGGCTAGGAAGCAAAGAAGGGAGACCCCCGCCCCGGCCACAAGAAACCTAAAAGCTGCTGCTCTCCCTCTCTGAACAGATTAGGATTTGGGCCACTTTGCCTGGGGGAGGGGAGGAGACCCACGCCCACCCCACGGCCACTGCTACCCCGTACCTGAGGCTTACAGTGCTCCTCAATCCAGCTGAAGACACAGGCTGACAGCTCCTGGAAGCTGGCCACGGAGATGGAGGCATTGAAGGACTGGAACAGGGAGTCCATGATGCCTTGAAACACATTGAACTTGACCTGGTCAGAGACCTGGTCTTCCCCCTCATGGGGATTGTCCTGGTGGGCCTTCACAATCTGCTCGTAGTTCCTGAAAGTGAGTAGTAACAGGGCTCAGGTCTTATAGCAGCTCGGTACCCGAGGTTCTCCCCCAGAAAGGGGCTCCTGGAGAGCTGTTGGGAGGTATTCAACATCAGCTACACACTGCTTCTGGGACGGAAGTGGTGACCCCTCTCTCCACCCTTCCCTTCATGAAGCCCACAGGCACGTCGAGTGTCTGCTATGCATCAGGGACGGGTGGGGACACAGTCCGGCCTCTAAGTGGCCACCTAAGGGAGGGAGAGGATTAACTGTCCTGTAGTAGCTGACGTGACCTTTGAACGAGAGGAAGGTATGAACCGAAGTTGGCCCGAGTCCTCTCAGAAGCCCTGGCTACCCCAGCTCAGCGTCCCCCTTACACTTTCATGATCTTTAGGGCCGTGACGTCCTTGCGTAGCATGGACACCTCCTCCTCCTGCTTTTTCTTCTCCTTGTGCAAAAACTGGATGTAGTCAATGGCTGGGGTGGGGGTGGGCACAGAAGAAGTTTCAACCAGAAAGACGAGGCTTTGTTTCCCCTTCCCTCCCCACCCCACCCCCCGTTCCCCAACTCCCATAACCACCCCCCGTTCCCCAACTCCCATAACCACCCCCCATTCCCCAACTCCCATAACCACCCCCCATTCCCCAACTCCCATAACCACCCCCCTCCCACCAGGGCCAGGCTGAGAGGGTAGAAGGCTCTGGCCTCTTCCACAGCCCCGCCGGCCCCGACCACTCCCAGGGCTCTCGCTGGCCGTACTCTTCTGCAGAACGATGGCTTTGCTGAGCTTTTGGGAGCCAATGGAGAAGTCCTGCTGCTGGCAGGTGGGGACGATGGTCTGAAGGTCGTCATAGCCTCTCTGTGGAGACAGCAGGGGAAACCAGGCTTCCTTAACTCTTGACGGATTAAGGCAAACTGGCTCCAAGCTTTCTCTCTGAGAACCGAGTTCCATGCTCAAACCTCAAAGGGGTGGGGGTGCTGGAAGGAGGGAGGTGTTCATGTCCGGGGCCTAGATCAGCTGCCCGCAAGGACGCCTGGGCTATCTGATGAGGTCGGAGCCGAGTGAATCTGAAACACAGAGGCCCTCCTGCGGGGGCTGAGTGCAGGCCTCCCCAGTCACCTTGATGGCGTCCCTCCTCTTCTGCTCAGCCTGGGTATGTGCTCGCCGCCGCCGGTCCTTGTAGGACTCCTTGTAGGACTCCTGGTGGTAGTCGCTGTCCTCGTCATCTACGCTCAAAGTTGGGGGTGGGAAGAGGTCATTTTGAGGCCCAGTGGGGCCCAGCTAACCCACCTTGCCCCAGCGGGGAAAAAAAACTGGTACCCAGAGACAGCAAATGGCCAGAAAAACCTAACGTCCTAGATGAGGGGAGAGATGGGGAGAGCCTGTGTCTAACACTAGGCCTCCAGCACCCCCGTGTGGACGACTGGAGCTTCCTGTCTAGGAAATATACCAAAACGATGGTATTTCTGAGCACCCCCCAGGTGGGGGCATGTTGCTGCCTACCTGTATTGGGGACGGAAGAGGCACTGGTGGAACCGATGCTATTAGCTCTGGACACTACACTCCCCTTTCGGGTACTTTCTACAAAAAGCCCTGGAAAAGAGAGGTCCCAATCACTAAGGGGTAGGGCAGGGGAACACTATTACACCCAGAGACACCTGTGGGTACAATGGCTTTCTGATCCTTAAATGCTGACCTCCCCCTTTCAACCCAAAAGCCACCCGTACTGGGTCATCTGCTTCCTGCTGTGCCATGCTGCAGGGCTCCTGTCCCTGGTGTCCACACTGCTCCGTGGGCCTGCAGTGGCACCACCGGTTCACAAGATGGCATCTGGGCACAGTGACGGAGAGGGAGTGGCTAGCTTCACTACTGTCATCGCCTCCCTGCTTTATGCTGCCTGGCCCTGTCTCCGGGACAGTGGACTGTGCTCAGGTGTGGCTGGCGAGACCACGGGAATCTACAGGGCTGCAGTGGGAGTGTCATCAGGGAGCTGGAGACGGTGGGGGGAGGCACTCACCGGGGTCCAGGCTGTTGTCGCTGTAAGCATATTCCACCTGCAAAGGAGCAAAGGAGAAGCTCATTAGAGCTCTTGCCCGGGGACCGCACCTCCTTTCACTCGCGTGCACACACCTACCCCCCCCACCCCACCCCAGGGTGCGCAGGCAATTGCGGGATGCACGCGCGCGGGCGTACACACGTGTGCACACACACAGAGCACACACATCCCCCCGGGGTGCGCAGGCGACCGCAGGACTGCCCCGGGAGCCAAGAGCGGAGAGGCCATGGGAGCACCGCCCCTCCGCAGGATCCCGTCTGACCCCACCCCCGCTCCAGCGCCTCCCCAGCCCCCAAACCCTGCCCCCTCACACTCGTGCACACACGCGTCACTTGTCTCCCCACCTTGGCACGCGCGGGGCGAGAGCTGTCTTCTCTGCAGCCCCGGGGCCCGGAGGGCGGGGGGACCTTTGGGGACTGCAAGGAATCCCCTAGTCTTCCGGCCCCCCCACGTGCACGAGCCCGACCCGCCCTCCCCTCGCCGGCGTGCGCGCCCGCAGGGCTTGCCTTGACCCAGGGGTCGTCTGGAGAAGCGCCTTGCTCCGTCATCTCCGACCCACCGAACCGGAAACCAGCCCGCGGGCGGGCCCCCTGCCGCGAGGAAGAGGCGAGGCGCATCCACGTGACCCAAACCCACCAACCCACGCGCCGGAGGCGGAGGGCGGGGCGAGGGGCGCGCATGCGCAGCCCGGAAACGGCGAACCCGTGGGCAGGGGACACTGGCGTCGGAGCGGACACGGATGTCTTCTCTGCCCTCCCTCGGGGTGGGCGTCCTTGCTGCCGCGACGTGAAGTACGTTCTGTAAAATGGGGTCCCCTCAAAAGGCGCGTCTGAACGGTTTGCCGATAGTTGCGTGCACGCGCTGTGCGGGCCCAGACGGCTCCCGGGGACGCGCGTCCCATCCCCACCCTTGCAGGCGGTCCGCCCCGTGGCGGTGCAGGCCTGGCCACCTGGGCCGACCCCGCCGGGCTGCCAGCTCCGTGAGGGCAGAGGCCCCGCCTGGCTTGTGGAAGGCCGGTCCTCCAACACGCAGCCAGACGCCTGGCAGGAGACCAGTGGAAGAAACGCTTTCAGAGAGCCTGCTGGCTAAGTTATGCTACTTTACAGATAAGGAAACTGAGGAACCTAGAAAGTCGGTAGCTTCTCGCAAAGCAGACAGCTATCAGGGATAGGACCAAGGCTGACCTCAGTCTGGCTGGCTGGCTTCAAAAGCCAAGCTCTTAACCCCTGCACTCCCGGCTTCCAGCTCAAGGCTTCCCAAGATATCCAGAGGCATCCGGGCAGGAAGCAGACACCATACAGGCAGCACCTGGCAACATTCATCTTTAATTCTGTTACAAGTTCCAGTGTTTGCCCTGGGCACAGTCGGCCGTAGGCATCAGACACTGTGGGCAAGAGTAGGCACAGAATGCCAGAGAGGCCTGCTCCCCATCCTCAGTGATGGCCAAACACCAGCAAGCTGGATAGGCTTCATGCGTCCGCCAGGCCCAGCCCTGCGCTCCCCAGTTTAGCTCGGAGCCCTCTAGGCCCAACCAGGATGAGCCCTGAGGCCCCCATTCCTCCTCACCGCTGAATCTCTTGGCAGCTCCAGGGGCCACTTGGGCCCCACAGAGAACTCAATGTCAGCCATGGGCCTTACGGCGCCTGGGGGATGCGCTTCTGCAGGAGGGCCCAGGCCTTCTCCACCTTTGAGCGGGCCAGAATGTTTGGAGGAAGAGAGGACAGGGTCAGGCAGGCACCCACTGGAGACTCCTTCCCCACAAGCCAGCCCTTCCCTCAGCACTAACCTGGCGTTGGGTGACATGCGGTTCCCATAAGGTGCTCAGCACCACGTGGCTCTGGTCCACAAGCTGCTGCCCACTCATCTGGCTCTGCAACCGGCTTTGAGCTGCGGCCTCACTCAGGCCATCCCTTGCCACGATGCGTCGTATAGCCTCAACACCGACAAGGCGTGGGTCAACCCACTGGCTCAGGGGGGGCTGCGGTGTGCAGTGGGGCTGGGGTGGGAGATGGGGTCCAGATACCTCAGTCTCGGGAATGACGACGGTCCACACCTCATGCACCATATTCTGCCAGCCGGCTTCAAGCAGCAGAGCAGCGTCGATCACGCACACGTGCTTTCCTGTGGGGAGACCCCAATCGCTGCTAGCAGCACACTGCCACTTGCTATCAGAGAGCCAAGGAGGCCTAGTCCCAAGGAAAGTAGAGGGTCTGGCTTGGGGTGGGGAAGCTCCCAGGTGGAGAATCTGTTTAACGGCCCTCTGGGCTGCTCCCATCCTCCCTCCCACTCACCCTCAGCCATAGCCTGATCCATCTCCTCTCGAGCCAGCTTTGCAATAACTGGCCACATAATATCCGTGAGTATCTTCAGCTGCTTCTGAGAAGGGGAACAGAGGACGCGGACAGTTTACCTTCCCTCGGAGATGGAGCCAGCCCGAGGGAGGAGGTGGTTGGGAACAGATGAATGGAAAGTAGCACTCTGGACCAGACCAGAGAGGTCCACTGGGTCCCAACCTCTGCATCTAGTAGCAGCTGAGAAACCCTTGGGGAAGAGTGTGTTTACCTTGTTCCCAAACACCCGGCTGCCTAGGACCTTCCTGTTGATAATGCCATCTTTATGGAGAATATCTGGACGACAGAGACACAGGACTGGGGAAGGAGGCCAGGCCATCTCCTCACTTCAGGCCACTTCCAGCTCTTCCCCCCCACCCCACCCCACCCCCCCACGTATTACCTGTTCCAAAGGCCTCCACAACAGGCTGGTAGGCAGGACCACCTGGGGCATAGGCCCGATGGCCCAGCTGGTCACTGTCGATGACATACGCCCCCAGGCCCTTAAGCCGCTGAGCTACTGAGCTCTTCCCGGAGCCACTGATGCCCGTCAGCCCAACCACGTACAGGTGTGTGGGTAGCTCTGGCCTCTTCTGAAGGTGGAGAACAGGGAACCCCAGTTACTAGGGTCTTCAGACTCATGCTTGGGACTGAATTC